AGAGAGAAGGTCAGACAGACTATCCAGACATGCTGCCAATGAAGAGACAGATTACAGCTCTGTGGGCCCGACTTCTCATCCCACAGAAAGACGATCATATTAAACCTGGAAGATTTAAAAATGGCTCAATGTACTTCCCTTACATCTCTGAGTTGAACCAAAGAGCTTTGAAGGATCTCCAGGTGAATTAGAACCTGGCTGGATTCCTTAGCTACCTCGCAGTAATGTGCATAAAAGCTCAAAAATATAAAGAGAACTGGATTTAGGAACAGGAAGGTCAAAATCATGGTATTCAAATCTAAACTGCCGACTTCAATACTGTTTTAATTTGCACCGTCACAAGAAAGGATCACAATGAGTAGTGTTTGACTATGATATTCCGCTCCTTTAAACAAACATCATGACTCAACTAATCATAACCTCTGAGGACAGTTTTACTGAACCGCATGAACCAGCATGTCCCATGCACAGCTCTGTCATCCATAAAAAAAAGCATATTTACAAAAAAACACTTGGACTAACTTTGTGCCAACCTTTATGAACTCACACAAGCTTAAAGACTGAAATACTAAACGGTAACATTCAGATCTTGATGCAAATGAGAAACAAAAAAAAAAAAGGGAAAAGGTGGGTTATGACTTTGCAGTGAGTCAAAATGCTTCACATCCTTTAATATACTGTAATTTTAACCCAAGTCTTATGTGAAAGCATGTTATTGAAGAGAGTTTGCCAAGAGAGCACACTGCAAATGAATAAAGGATACAAAGAGGGGCAGTGGGAAGGATCTAAGGCCCCAGGGCTCCTCCTGCCTGATGCCTTTTACACACAATCTCATGCATGCAGGCACGCAAACACCCGTAGTGGTACTCTAAAGCTTTATAGCCTGTGCCGTCTGTCACTGTGCCACACATGCATAAAGCCATCCCTCCTTTCCAGTTATCAGTCCCTCTATCTCTTTTGCTCTGCTGTCCTTGTTGCACACGTGTCACCAGAGTAGAGAGACAGATGGTACGCTGCTGACCTCAGGGACAACCTAATTCTGTGCAGAGTCTTTATAAAACAGAGTTGGTAGAAATATGAGGGTTTAAATTTTTTTTTTAAAAATAGAGTCAAGGGTAAAAATCATTATCAAAATAACAGAGCAACCTCACGTAGATGTGAAATGCCAGATGAGGAATACTGAGGATAAATTGATTAAAGATGAAAAACAAAACGTTCAATTTTTTTTCTACTGAATTCCCCACTGATCACTAAGAGCGACCTCATGTGATGCTGAGTCATGGAACCAATCAAAGGTTCAGAGGACAACAGGAAGTCAGGGTTCAGGCCACTGACCCCACAAATTCCTGTTTTTCAGCTACTGCTTTATTCTTTGGCTCTCTCCCTCCACCCATCTTACCATTTTCTTTCCTGGCTCTTTTCCTCCGTCACCCCCATCTCTCTCTCTGTCATCCTGTTCCCCTCTATCTTCCAGCCATTTCACTGAGCCAACTCTGCAGTACCCATCTTCATCTGGTTGTCTCCTCCCCTCCATCTGTTAACAGCACTTATGTTTTACCCCTTTCCCCCTGTTTTGCTATTCCAGCTAGCTTCTTTTTCCTTTATAACTGCAGCTTTATTCTTCATAAATAGCAGCATTCTCTGTCACTTAAAATGCTTCAAGCCAGAGATAGTAACCACATTTGCCCTTGGGTCAGATTAAATATTAAGATGTTTTTTCACTCTTCACAAACCTATCTAACAGAACAATAGCACTCTCAGAGCCCTGTCACCGTGTAGAGAGAGACTGGTCCTCTGGGTAAAACAAAACAAATGGAGTAAAAGATAAAATACAGCAAGTCACTGGGGAAGTTTTCAGTGCATAACAAAACAGAGACGTATTTTAGGATGTTTATGCATTTCCACAAGTCTAATGTTAATAGTGAAAAGTATATATGCTCACTCTCCCACTTAATCTCTCACCTCACTGGCTGAGTTCATAAGGTACTTCTTGCTGAGCGTCATGTTGAGTGTGTTGTTGTGACTCAGCATGGGTGATTTCATAAATACAAAGTCACTTCGGCTAGATATAGTGGAGTAGCAGGGCCTATAGGTCCGTGTATGTGGCTCTTGGGGACCTCCCACAACCTCCATATATCGTATGGGTCCATCAGTATTGAGCTGCAGGTGGAGGTCCTTGCTAGGCCTCTGATGGTAGCGGCTGGACCTGTGGTGACCATAGCAGCAGCATTCAGAGCCTCCCAGCCCTGGGCCACGGTGTCTCAGGCAGCGCACCATGAGAACAACAAATGTGATAAAGGACACCGCTGACACACAGGCTAGAGAGATGATAAGGTACAAAGTGATATCTGGCATCCCATTGCGTTGGTAGAAAGGTATGTGGTGAGGAATAATCGGAGCATCGTTGGCTGGTGCCTTCTCATCCACAGTTATTGTAACATTCACAGAAGTGGACTTGGGTGGGTCGCCATTATCCTGAATCATGACCACAATGTCATAAGTTGAACCACTTTCCTCCTCGTCCCACTTTCGAGCTGTGCGGAGGTCCCCAGTGTGTGCCCCAATACGGAACATACCAGCATTTGGTCCAGGAGCAATTGAGTAAAACAACCAAGCATTGTGCCCACTGTCTGCATCCACTGCGACCAGTTTATTTATAAGGTGCCCTGGACTGGCAGATGGGGCCACAGTGAACTCTAATCTTTTGTCTTTTGAGTAGGAGGGGTGTACAATCACTGGTGCATTGTCATTCACATCCACAACAAACACATGCACAGTGACGTTGGATGTCCGTGCGGGCACTCCAGCATCCTCAGCCTGCACCTCAATACGGAAAGCTTTAAGCTGTTCATGATCCAGAGAGCGCATGCTGTAAATGTGACCGCTCTTCGGGTTGATGTAGACATAAGAAGATATGGGTGAGCCCTGCACCATGCTTGTAAGGATTGAATAAGAGACGTGTGCATTTTCACCAAGGTCTGGGTCAGTGGCAGAAACGACAGCGATGGGAGAACTGGGAGCGTTGTTTTCTGAGATGTCCACAGAGTATGAAGGCTGAGAGAAAGTGGGGGCATTGTCATTTACATCAGACACCTTCACCACAAAGTTGATTTGTGATGAAAGGGGAGGGGAACCAGCATCAGTGGCCTTGATGATAACTGAGTACTCTGGGACAGTCTCACGGTCCAGGTTGCCAGCTGTGACCAGGCGGTAACTCATGTCAAAAGTTGACATGAGTTTGAATGGTAAACCTGGCGTGATAGTCAGCTTAACATTTCCATTCAGACCAGGGTCTGGGTCCCGTGTGTTTATGAACGCTATAGCGGTCCCCGGTGCTGAGTCCTCTCTGATAGACTCAGTCAGTGACACCAGTTTCACCTCTGGTGCGTTGTCATTCACGTCAGTGATGGTCACAATGACGTTACAGGAGCCCTCCATAGCGGGAGAGCCACCATCTCTGGCCTGCACTGTTATGTGATATGCATTCATCTCCTCATAATCCACAACACCCTTTACACGGATTTCCCCGCTTTTAGAATCCACAGTGAATAGATTGAGAACATGCTGTGGTGTGTATTTACTAAAAAGATACGATATGTCCCCGTTGCTACCCGAATCGGCGTCTGTGGCGTTTACTTTCGTTACTAAAGTGCCCAGTGCAGCATTTTCTAATAATGTAACTTTCTTTACAGGTTCGTCAAAGACGGGCGCATTGTCATTTACATCCAGAATGTCAATGAGCAGAAGTGTTGAGCCAGATTTCTCTGGCTGACCCCCATCCACAGCAGTGAGCAGCAGGCGAAACGAGGCCTGCCTCTCTCTGTCCAAAGCTTTATCCACCACTAGCTCTGGAAACTTGCGGCCGTCACTTTTAGTTTCCACATTCAAAGTAAAGAAGTCATTTGATGCGAGATGATACGTGCGTAACGAATTGGTACCCACGTCAGGGTCGTGCGCGCTCTCCAAACGAAATTGTGTGCCAGGTGCGGCTGCCTCAGAAATCTCCAAAGAAATGTTAGTGGTTGAAAACTGCGGCGCATTGTCATTCACATCCAGAACGTTCACCACGACGCGATGGATCTCTAAAGGATCATCCATAAGTATTTGAAGGTGTAGTGAACACGCTGAACTTAAATCGCACAGATTCTCTCTGTCAATTTTTTGTTTAATAATCAAATCGCCAGTCGTCTGCTTCACCTCAAAGTACTGCACTGATGATTCGGAGACCACCCGCAGCCTCCTCTGAACAATCCGCTGAGCAGTGAGAGTCAAGTCTTTAGCGATATTCCCCACGACAGAGCCTGGATTTAGTTCCTCCGATACGGAATAGCTGAGCTGAGCGGACGCACAGGAGACCCATGCTAGATAAAAGTAAACCCTCCACAGCCTCCCTCCTCCCGAGTACTTTGTCTGCGCGGAGTCCATTGTACTGCGCTCCGAGGATCAGGGAACGGCAACGTTTCTAACTTCTTTCACTGTAGCGTATCCATGATAGAATTAAAACGCGACGTCCACACTCCTAAACATTTCCATTTTAGAAAAAGGGCGATGGGATGTTTTGATGTGACCATGACGGCCGTCTTTAAAGAAAAAAAAGAAAAAATAAACGAGAGCGAAAACTCAAAGTTTTTTTCTGCCTCCACTCTCTGCTTGTGTCTCCTCCGCCTGATTCCCCTCATGGGCGGAGAGAGGCAACTCAGGCCTTCCCTCTCATTGGAAGACAGGGTTGGATCAGTGTTGTCATCTCTCTCTCACACACGCACCGAAAACTTTTTAGTGACTTCACTTCCACATACGAGTATCAACTCGAAAAAAAAAATTGGTTTCAAAAGTTTGAGATTACACCGAAAGACAAATAACACAGCACGCCAAGAGTCTGTTAAAACCTATAACGGAGATCGAAGCCATAAATGCAAAGGATAAGTCATCTTTATATAGAACCCCCCACCCACGTGGTTTTCTTTGATAGTTCTCATTGTCAAAACAGTGGGGTATCAGCCTTATGTCATATAACGCAATGCTATTTGCGCCCGCATGGGGGCGTGGTTTCCAAACCGGATTTTCCCCTGAGGGCAAACAATACCGTTTATCAGAAGAAGATTAAAGGTTAAAAACAGGCTTCATTGTAAAGCTCAGTAATTCTAGACAAATAAAAATAAAATAAAATAAATACACATTTTTTAAACTATAAAACGACACACGGCAGGCATTTTGAAGATCCTGGCAATTTGAATTAGAGGGGATTTCTATAGTTGATACGCCTCATTAACATAAAGACCGAAAACTAATAACTGATTATACTTATTGAAAACGCTAATATATATTAAGAGTGAATTAAAATAATTGTTGCAACTGAATTGTAAGTTTGCCTTAATTCTATGAAAACTAGTGTCTTTTTAAAGTAAGAAAAAACATGAAACTGATAACATTTTTTGAAAAAAAAAGAAAAGATATGCAATAATAAATTGAAACCAATAGTAGTGGTAAAATTTTACTTTTACCATTATAGTAGTACCACACAAACAAACACGCAGTGCATGGTAGAGAGAGTGAAAGCGATTATGTATATTATCCCTTAATTAAATATATACCCGGATTTGTTAAAGTTACTACATTCCATAGTGATAATCAAACAAGAAAGTGTAGAAACAAAAAACTGCGAGCAGGAGAACTTGTTGCACTACACTCATTGCTAGACATAAGCAAGGAACTGCAAAATGAAAATCAGGATAAAAAAAATCAGGATACGTTAATTTTAAATTCAGGGTTAGGGATATAATTTTACTGAGTTCCCTTTGGATTTTGTTCTCACCTGCTGGCTCTCAAAGGTCCAGGTGCTGTCAGGTAAAGAAGCATCCAGGACACTAATCACCTCCTTAAAGTCTGTGGTGCTGCTGGGTTTAATCAGAGTGAAATCGCTGTACTCTGACATTGGAGACATACAGGACCTGAAGGACTGACTCTGAGACAGCATGTCTCCTCCCAGGACCTCCACGTA